CCTATTCTATTCTATTCTATTCTATTCTATTCTATTCCATTCCATTCTATTCCTTGTTCTACTCTATTCTATTCCTATTATTCCTATTCCTATTCTTATTCCTACTCCTATTCTATTCCTAATATTCCTATTCCTACTCTATTCTATTCCTAATATTCCTATTCCTACTCCTACTCCTATTCTATTCTATTCCATTCTATTCTATTCCATTCCATTCTATTCCTTGTTGTTCTGTTCTGTTCTATTCCTTCATTCCTCTATTCTATTCTATTCTAATTTGCAGCTCAGGGTTGAACTGTGGGGTCCTTGGTACTCTCTGAGCTTGGGGGCTTTCTTGCAGACGTCTCATTACCAATCTAGGTCATATCATCAGTGCACTGATGATTTTACTTAGTTTGATAATGAAACGTCTGTAAGAGAACTACCAAGCTCAGAGAGCACCAAGGGGACTCTCTTAGGGTCCTCCATTGAAATTCTGTGTAGTTCAGGACCCATAAAAAGATTTACACAAAGCACGGCTAAACTGTACAAGTTCACTGTCCTTAGAGGTAATAATGGTGTTTTTTTTTTAAAGGCCTGGACAGATTCATGGAAGATCAAGCTTAAGCAGGGTGATGGTTACTAGCTTGATCAGAGCTATTTATTTATTTTACCTTGCTTCTATGCTAGCCATTCCCACAGTGGCAGCTCCACCTGAATCATAAGCTGCTTACCCTGAAACTTCAGCTGTTAGAGAGAAACATTAAAAAATGGCTATTGACAACCGATCCAGGTTTATGATAAACCTTGGTAGATTCAGTAAAGGACAGTTTATGTTTTTAACTGGGTTTGAGCCACTTACCAGTGGTCTGTAGGATCCCTCGCAGGCAATGCTGGATGCATAATTCAACATCAATTTGACAGCCTATTTATACAGTGGGCACATATTTAAATCAATATAAATTCCCGTGGAGCATTTGGAACGAAGTTAACTATGCAACTAACTGAATTGGGTTTATTGTCTATGGAGAAAGACACATTTAAATACTTGTGGCCCACCAGCGGATCCGAAAGCAGAGTCAGACAGTGAGGCTGTTGGGGAGGAACATGGGCCAGTCCTGGAGGCTGGGGAAGGTTCAGATGAGGGCTCTGCATCAGAGGCAGAGAGGAGGCCAAGGCCGTCTGGCAGTGATCAGGTGCCTTCGAAGCTAGACAGCAGTGAGGCAGAGGAACAGCTGGAGCCTGTTCCCAGTGTGCGCATGCGCAGAGCTGCAAGAAGAAAAGAACGGCTCAGAAATCAGGGTCAACTTGGGAGTAAAGCCACGGGTGGATGGT